GATGATACAACAGTGTAAACGTACTTAATGCCACTGAACTGTACACCTAATATGGCTAAAATTGTAAATTTTACGTTACGTATATTTTACCATAATTAAAACAAAAAGATAACTATTTGTGTGTGTGTGAAAAATAGTTTTGTAAAGAACATAAGTGTTTGTAGGGGAGCACTGTGTTCTCTGCCTGCTCTGTGGGTCTGCACAGAGCACTCGCAGGCACCAGGCACCACCGAAATGCCCACACGAAGGTTTCACTTTCAGGGTATGTTAAAAATCTGCCTTTGGCCGGGCGCGGTGGCTCACGCCTGTAATCCTAGCTCTCTGGGAGGCCGAGGCGGGCAGATTGCTCAAGGTCAGGAGTTCAAAACCAGCCTGAGCAAGAGCGAGACCCTGTCTCTACTATAAATAGAAAGAAATTAATTGGCCAACTGATATATATAGAAAAAATTAGCCAGGCATGGTGGCGCATGCCTGTAGTCCCAGCTACTCGGGAGGCTGAGGCAGAAGGATCGCTCGAGCCCAGGAGTTTGAGGTTGCTGTGAGCTAGGCTGACGCCACGGCACTCACTCTAGCCTGGACAACAAAGCGAGACTCTGTCTCAAAAACAACAACAAAAAAAAAATCTGCCTTTGAAGACAAGTTAATTTCAGAATACGCTTTATTCCTAAGCTTTGGTAGAACATATTTATGCTAGCTTTTTAACTCACTTAATTAAAAACGAAGAGCCCCTGTCCAGTGTGTGCTATGTCGTGTTTGAGGCCATCCTTCCCGGCCGGCTGCATCCTTTAAGCAAGCCCATGCCGTGTTTCTGCAATACGAGGCTCTAGTTGAAAAAGAAAGAAGTCCTTTGGAAATCTTTGACCACGGGAAAGAGGACCCCTGTCAGAGTGTTTAAGGAAAGTGTTGGCTACAGAGCAAGACAGGGTGTATGGGTGTACTTATCCCCATTCTACAGGTGAGGAAACTGAGGCCCAGAGCAAAAGCCACAGAGTAAAGCTACTGGCCACAGAGTCTGTGCATGACAGAGCCAGAGCTGGGCTTCTGATGAGGGCTCCCCCGCTGCCCTCGGCCCCTCTGCTAATCTGGACACTGTGGGTGATGGTGGAGGAGACCACACGCAGGGCAGGGCGCCAGGACGCCTCCTCTGTCCCCGAGCCCCTGCTCCCCAGACGGCCTGAGGGACGTCCCTTAAGCTCAGTGAAACATGGAGCCCAAAAGCATGAGCTAAAGGACACCAGCTCTGTGCGGCCTGATGCCCCCAAACCCAAGGCAAGAGCCAAGAAGGCCCGTGGCATCCTTGAGCATCCCTTCCCCAAGCCCACCTGAGGCGTCGGCCAGGGTACCGGGCAGTATTGGATTTAGTGTTTGATAAAATGGACATACATTAAGAATTCGGAACAGTCATGAAATCGGGCTTAGCAATGAACCCTGGAATAGGTGAGGGAAGCCGGGCCAGAGTGGCAGCGGCAACTGAGGCTCCCTCCTGTCACCATTCTGGGCTCCTTGGCAGGTGACGCCCACGGGTCCTGCTGGCCAGCCCCACGTCTGCGCGGAGGCCCAGCCAGCGCTCTGGGAGGGAACGGGTGAGGACCAGGCAACAGGGACCACCCTGACAGCCACATGCTTCCCACCAGGGCCCCGGCCAGGGGCTATTCGAGCTGGCCAGCCCCCCAGTGGTCACCCAGCCCTCCCAGGCCTCAGAAGAAGAGGGGGAAAGAGCTTGCTCCCTAGGGGACCACAGGTAGAACACAGGGCTTGAGGGCAAGGATTTGGGGACCAGACCTGGGCTTGGGATGCGGCTCTGCCACTTAATCTCTGGGCGGCTTGAGTAAGCTCCTTACCTAATGGGACCTCAGCTTCCTCATTTGTGTAATGGGATTCCTGCTAGAACCCATCTCAGAGTTGTAGTGAGGGCTAAACGAGACAGTTCACATAAGGGCTCAGCCAGCACACAGTATGTAGTGAAGAGTCACTAACCGGTGATTTTATTGTGGTTTTAACAATTCAAACACATCAAGACTATTGTTATTCCTACCAGGCCAGGGAGAAGAGGCAGAGCCATTTCTAGAAGCCAGACCTCTCTCCACCAGGCACCACCCTGCATCCCATTCTGAGTCAGAGAAGCAAGGAACCCTCCTCCTCCCCTGCCCTCTCCCCTCCCCATGGTGGCTTCCCCAAGGTTTCAAACTGTCCTTCCCTTTCCTCCTTGAAGAGCAGGTGACTGGGTTTAGGGATGCTGCCACCTGGCGGCCACAGGCCATCAGGATGCCTGGGGACGGCCACGTGAGTTTGGGAGGGCTGGAAGCAGGCCCTGGATGCCTGGAGAAGGCTGGGCAGCAGGGCGACTCGAGAGTCACCACCCATGCAGCACGAAAACTTCATGGTGACACCCAGTAGTCCCGCAGATTGGATTCAAATCCTGGTTCTGATGTTTCCTAGATGCATGACCCCGAGCAAGCCAACTAACTGCTCTCAGCCCCAGTTTACTCATCTGTAAGACGGATAGTCTTCTCCTACGCCAAGGGTCCATGGCCCAGCAGAAACCTGGAGACTCCTCCTAGAGCACCCCCTGTACTTCAGTATAATTTAAATGGGATTTATGTGAAACTCATGCACGTTAAGAATTCAACTCCAAAACTCTGCTCGCTTTAAGCGACAACGGGGGCCGTCTGGGAACTGAGGGTTTGTGCAGACTGTCCGCCTCCTCCTGCGGCCTCCCTGCCAGGCTCCACCTCACTCCGACCTCACAGGGTTCTACTAAGCGCAGCTCTCACCTAGCACCTCCTGCCTCGTGCTTGGCACTTTGCACGCATCTCATTCAGCCTTTGCAACACCAGCAAATCGTCCCCATTATACAAAGCACAAAGCGGAGGTTCTGAGAAGCCGCAGAACTTGCTGGAGGTCACACAGTTGTCCCACGCAGGAGCCAAGCTTCAGACCTGAGTCTGCCTGACGCGGGAATCCTCACCGCCCCCACGCCGGGGAAACCCCCGTAGGCGTGTTTCGGGGAATGTCTGGGGAGGCTGACCCTGAGTTCGCCCTGGATCCCTGGAGCATGTGATGGGGACATTTGCTCGCTGATGGAGCACGCCCCAGTGTCCCAACACCAGACGCCCGACAGCTCCCCAGAGGCTGTCCCGCCCAGGGGGCCACGCAGAGAGAAACCAGCACTTCCCCTGTTCTCAACCTCCCGGCTCTCAGGCGTGGGACTCCCAGCCCCATCTGCATCCGGAGAGCCAACAGCCGGGCACCCCCTCCCCCAGCCGCGCCTGCGGGCTCTTGGAAGAGGCGGCCTGGACAGGGCCTCCCCCGGCCAGTGGATCCCCTGGCTGTTTCAGTTCTCTTTCTTGCTGGGAAACGCTCTGACTCAAATGAGCAGGGAACCTCTGGTCATGCTAGGGCCGTGGGCACAGACACAGCCCTCTCCTCACTGCGGCAGCTTCCTTCCCATGGGGTGTCCCATTGCCAAGGGAAGACACGAAGGCCTGGAGAGGAGATAGGACTTGCCTGAGGTCACATCTAGAGGTGGACCCCGCCGGGCTTCTGCCCACTGCCCTGCCCTGCTGGTGGGCAGCAGTGTCTGAGGCCCACTGGGGTCTTGTCCCGACTGGAAGGCCAGTGTGCATGGGGACCCTCAGGAGAAGGCCCTGTCCCATGGCTGGGGACATTCTGCAGGCCAGGCGGTCTGTGGGCTGCACAGACCAACGAGAGGAAAGGCCCCGGAACATGGCCAGCCAGCTTTGGCTCAGCAGGCTCAGCCCCGTGTGCCTTTGCAGCCCTCGAAGCATCTCAGCATGGCCATCCGGGCTTCCGTTATCCATCCGTCCGTCCGTCCGGGAGGTGCAGCTGCCTGCCCTGCGTGGGGCACGGTGCTGGCCGGAGGCCTGGGCCCAAGGCTGGCCGCCCAGCCCGCCCACGGCCGTCCTCCCTCACCAGGCAATCGACATGCCTGAGTGCTGCCCTTAGACCTGCTCCTTAGGGCACTCCCGCCCCACCGGGTTCCTGAGGAGGAGACACAGCAAGTCCTCCAGAATCGTCAGGAGAGGGTTTTCGCTGCGACCTGAGCTTCTGCCCCCTCCCCCAGCACCAGGAGGACCCAGAGTCCCGGGATGGGGGAAAGATTCGGAAAAGGCAGTGGGAGACACGGAAGCCATGGCGGAGGATTTCACTGAGCTTCAGACTTCTGTCCTGCTCGGTCCTGCCACCAAACCTCCAGCCGCTCTGGGGGCCAGCCCGCCCTCCCCTCCCCCTCTCCCACCCCCTCCCCCCACTCACTGGCTTTTTTTGCCCCCTGAATTCTCACAATAGTCCTTCCAAATAGGTGCTTTTACTATTCCCATTTTACAGTTGGAAAATCTGAGGCTCAAAGAGGTGAAAAGATTTGCCCGGGCGGGACGGTTACCGAGAGAGAACCTGAACCAGACGTGGCTGACGCCAGAGCCCAGACACTTGGCGGCCGGGCAGCCGCCTCGCTGGTCTGGCCGTAGGGCTCTGAGCTGGCGCAGAGCCTCTGCCACCTGTGCCCTTCTGTAGCAACGACTCTCCGTGCCCGGGTCTCCCCAGGCTCCCAGTGGCAGTGCTGACATCTGGAGTGTGACCCCGGCTCCCCCTTCCTGGGGGCAGACCTCCCCCTCATCTGGCACGGCTCTGGGCAAGCTGGGCTCAGAGACGTGGGGAGGACGGGCGGGAGCCCGCGTCCATGCCCGTTCGCCCCGGGGACAGGCACAGTCCCTGCGCTGGGGGGCTGGTTTCCTGGGGGCCCCAGTGGTGGCGTCACACTGGCTGGGTCAGGCAGGGATGGCTGAACACTGTCAGAGTTCTCTGTTTTCCCCTTAGTTCCTAAGCAACCAACTAGAGTTTGGGGGCCTAAATGCTCAGAATAGAGGAAGCAGGTGAAGGGGCCTGGGCAGATACCTAGAGGGGTCACCCACGAGGAGGAGCACGCAGTGGGCCTGGGGGTGGGGAGGCAGGTCGGGGATGGGGGGGCCCAGCCCGCACAACTCACCCGTGCACCCGGCACAAGGCCCAGGGTTGACGGGGTTTGGTGGGGGAAAGAAAGGGTCATGCCAATGACTCCTTCCAGGACTTTGGGCCCAGCACTGCCCTTCTTTGGGCCTTAATTGCCCCCTATGTAAGTGGGCATGGGTCTTTCGTCACCTCGGCAGGCTGGTGGGTAATGGAGCAGATGTGAACACACTGGTGGGTCTATGGGCCATGTGACAGGTTGGCGCCATCGCAATATCGGTCACTTGCAGGGCAGCCAGAGCCACAGTGCGGGGCAAGCGTCCAAGGGACGGACAGCCTCTCGCTGTCCTCCTGCAGAGAGGCCTCCTTCCGTGAGTGGCCATTCTCTCCCCAGCCCCACTCGAGCGGCTGCCCCGCTGCCTGCAGCTTCCTTGGCCGGCCCTGCCCAGCGGAGCACAAGGACGCACCCCTCAGTCTCCCACACACAGTGGGGGCTCCCCACCCCCAGTAGCCCTCTGTCCAAAAGGGCTCACATTCACCGCTGACATGCCTGGGCTGCTTTTGCCCCCATTGTACTGGCAGGGGGACAGGCATTCTGTGGGTATCTGTGTGCAGGTCTCAAGGCCCCCGGGGATGGGGCCGCAGAGACGGCAGAACTGAAACCCAGGAGGGAGCAGCACCCCGCAGGAGCCCCTCTCCGAAGGGATCCCAGGGGAGCTCTCAACCTCTCAGCGGCAGGATTGCACTTCTGCGGTGACAAGCTACTTTCATTTTCTTTCCTAAAGTGAACAAGGAAGAAAGCAACAAAACTGATGAGTGTTCTGATGCATCATGAACCCCGGCTATAAAAGCCCTCCCCGCCCTCCGCAGCCGGCCCGCTCGCTCCCCGGAGCGCTCAGCTGCAGGGCTGGAGCCACATGTGCCCGCGACAAGGTAGGTGGAGGTCAGGGCCTGAACCACAGGAGAGGGGAAGCCTGGGGGGCTGAGGGGGGTCCCTGGCCAGACACGCCCAGAGTGCCTTCCTCTGCCTCGTCCCAGAGGCAGGATTAGTGGGCTGGGTGTCTGTGACCCCGGATCAGCTGGGATCCAAGAGACACAAGACGTGTCTCAGGGACTGGACGGGCGTAGCTCAGAGGAGCAGAGTAAGGTCACGCCGGGCAGCAGTGAGTCTTTCTGTCCGAGGGATTCTGTCAAGGTCCCCGGCCCACAGGAATGGTTTCTAGGCGTGAACTCTGAGCTCCCGGCCAGGCCTGAGGGCACGGATGCCCGGCTCAGCTGTCCTGGCTCAGCCTAAGCCCGCACCTCGAGAAGAGGCTTTCTGGCCCAGTGTAGGTGCTCACGCCTGTAATCCCAGCACTCCGGGAAGCCAGGGCAGCCGGATTGTTTGAGCTCAGGAGTTCGAGACCAGCCTGAGCAAGAGTGAGACCCCATCTCTACTAAAAAAAATAGAAAGAAATGAATTGGGCCGGGCGTGGTGGCTCACGTCTGTAATCCTAGCACTTTGGGAGACCAAGGCGGGCAGATTGCTCGAGGTCAGGAGTTTAAAACCTGAGCAAGAGCAAGACCCTGTCTCTACTATAAATAGAAAAGAAATTAATTGGCCAACTAATATATATAGAAAAAATGAGCTGGGCATGGTGGCGCATGCCTATAGTCCCAGCTACTCGGGAGGCTGAGGCAGGAGGATCACTTGAGCCCAGGAGTTTGAGGTTGCTGTGAGCTAGGCTGATGCCACGGCACTCACTCTAGCCTGGACAACAGAGTGAGACTCTGTCTCAAAAATACAAACAAACAAAAAAGAGGTTCTCTGCAGGCTGGGGCCGGAGTGGGAGTGTGGGCAGAGGCAAGTATGTGTCTGTGCACGTGGGAAAAGGGGACCCCTTGGGGGGGCCAGCAGTCCCTTTCGGACTACAAGGTTTCCAACACCAGCCCTTAATCTACTGCATCCAAAGGCAGGAGGGGCAGAGGATTCTGGACTAGGAGGGACATCGGGTCTACACCGCCCGTGATAGGCTTCCTATCCCACAGCCTTTACGGTCCAGATTCCCCTTCGTGGTCTACCTGGACTTGATTTCCCCATGTGCGTGGGCTTCTTCTCATTTAGCTACTTGGCAAGTGTGCCCCAGGTGCTTACTGAGGCCCCATGAGCTGTCTGTCCCGGGCAGTGGGACGTAGGGCAGCAGGGCAGCTCAGCCCACGCCCGGCCCTCCCTGGGACACGACCAGGGCCCACAGAGATGGGCTGAAGGAGGTGCTGGCCCAGCTCCCTGGGGGGGGGGTGCATTCTCCCTATTGTGGAGGTCAGAGGGCAGAGAAAGGCCACCTTCCCCAGGGGAAGGAGCTTCATAGAAGAAGTAACCTTTGAACCAAGCCTTGAAAGAGGAGCCGTATTTGGACACAGAGTTTGGGATGGAAAATGTGTCCTTAGCAGAGAAAATAATGTGAGCAAAATCATGGCGCCAAGAAAGTGCATAATTAGTTACGCAAATCTGCTCTGCCCTTGGCTCCTGGTGAAGGTGGTGGCAGGACCTGGGCCACATGGGGTTGGTGGATGTGGCAGACAGTTGTCCCCAATCCATGCAGGAGCAAAGCTGACCACCATAAGTGGCCTTCTTGTGAGTGGCCGTAGGAAGCACTTGGAATGTGTGAGCTGTTTCTATTCTTTGTTAGGGTCTCCAGGCAGCTTTTCCAGTGCCCAGGACAAGGCTAGGCTTCCTTCTTCCGTGTCCCTCCATGCCACCTGATGCCAGGAGCACCTACCTCCTCCACCAGCTGGGTGCTCCCGAGAGTGAGGGCCTGGTCTCCCTTGCATCTGCTTCTCCCCGGCAGCTGGCACGGTGCCTGGCTCCAAGGAGGGCTCACAAGCATTTGTTGGGTGACTGTCAGGTGCAAGGAAGGTGTAGCCGGTCTGCCCTTCCTTCCCCGTGAGACAGGGCCACATCGTCTGCAAATGACCAAGAGATCACCAGAACCCCACCCCACCAGCCCATACGCCTCATCCCTTGCATAGACTAGGATGGACACATCTGTGCTACAGAGAGCCACAAGTCAGAGCGGGTGTGTGGCACGTCCCCCTCGCGGTGTGGGAACAACTGAGCTCGTGCTCAGACCAGGGGTCCCGTCCTTCCACTCCAGTTCCAGCCTTGGCTCCACCCTGGCTGGGGCAGAATGATCAAATCCACGGGCATGTGGCTCTGTTTGGCTAGATGCCGCCAGGGGTCCCTGAGGCGGGCAAGCACGTCTGGGCTCAGGGAGCCGCAGAGGTGTGTCTGGCTCCAGCTGAGCCTGTGTGTCTGACTCCCTCCTTCCCAGGCTCTGATCCATGGAGCGGCGCCTCACGGTCCTGCAGGTGAGCCTGCACCACCCCTCGCTCTGCCCGGCCGCCTTCGCCAACGTCCCGCCACGGCTGCAGCACGACACCAGCCGGCTGCTCGTCGGGCGGGGGCGGGACGCCCACCTGCGGCTGCAGCTCCCCAACCTGTCCCGCCAACACCTGTCCCTGGAGCCCTACCTGGAGAAGGGCCGCGCCCTGCTGGCCTTCTGCCTCAAGTGCCTGAGCCGCAAGGGCCGTGTGTGGGTCAATGGCCTGCGGCTGAGCTACCTGGAGCAGGTGCCCCTGAGCCCCGTCACCAGGGTCTGCTTCTCCGGCGTTCAGATGGTGGTCCGCGTGGAGGAAGGCACCTCCCTCACGGCTTTTGTCTGCTGCTTCCACCTCAGCCCCTCGCCCCTAATCTGCAGAGCCGAGGCGGAGGAGACCGACGAATGGGAAGGGCTCCCCCAGGAGCAGCCTGCCCCAGGTTCGGGCGAGCAGGCTCCGGGCCACCTGGGCTTTCCCCACAGCCCTCCCCACACTCGGGACAGCCCTCCCCAGCCCGGCCCTGGAGCAGGGCCAGAAATATAGCTCCCGAGGGAGCCCCCAGACGGTGCGCTCTGCCAGCCCAGCCGTGAGAGCAAGGCTCTGCTGAAACCGGACTGGAGCTCTCTGAGCTGCATCACACGTGGTTGACATGCGAGCGCCGCTGGCTGCCTCGCGCACGACGGACCGATTCTGCAGACGCCGCGCAGCCGGGGCGGAGAGGCACCCGCCGTGGCCAGCGCTATGCAAGGGAGTGGGAACCTCATATACTTTCAGAGGCCCTGCGGGGTTCTGGGGAGCCTCTCTCAGCGCTCCCCACGTCTCCCCGTCTTGTCTGACTAGGAGTTACTTTATGTTGCTCATTTTGTGCGCCGCTCAGGAGCGGGCATTTGAGGTTGCGGCAGGAACGCGTGGACACACGTAGCAATTACGCCTGTGGGGGCTCAGGCTCGCCTCCGGCTTCCAAATACCCACAGGCGCTGGGGGCTTAGGGCAGCCTGTGTTTCATAAACGGCAAGTATTTCATTAAGCTGGCACAGCCAGCGGGATTCCCCGAGCCCCAGGCGGCCGCGTGCAGGCCACGTCGTCACGCAGAGGCGGGCGGGAGGCCTGGGAGAGGTGTAAGGGGAAACTGGAAAGGTGGGGGCCACGTCTCCGGAAAGGAAGCAGGCAGAGCTCGGGGGTTCCTGAGCCTGGGAGCTGGGCCTCATCTTCCTCGTCCTCATGTTTTCCCGTCCTCTGTCACTTCTGGACCGAAGCCTGGGCTGACCCGACGGCGAAGGTCTCCAGGGAACGTGGGGCTGCGGTGGAAGGTCGTGCTAGAATCCAGCCCAGCAGTGATTTCACTCAGGGAGGGTCATGTGGCGATGGGGGGGGGGGGTGGAGTCTTTCCAAGTAGTGGGCTGGGGGCGGGGGGTAGGCCGGCCAAGGGAAGGAGAATTTGCCCAGGGAGCCGCAGGAGCAGAGCACAAGCAAGCACTCGCCACACCACCCTGCCATGGGCCAGCGTGGTTCAGAAGGAGTGTCCACCCTGCGTGATGGAGGGAGGGACCTACCCGTGCAGATGGTCGCCACCATCCCAGACCCTGAGCGCCGCTGAGGGCCCGGCCCTAAAAGGGCACCCAGGGCAGGCTACAGGGAGGTCACCTTCCCTCGCAGGCCCTGAGCATCTTCCCCATGAGGAAGACAGCGCGTGCAAGCCCGGGCCTGCCCTTCCTTTCCAATAAGCAACAAGGCAAGTACGCTCAGACCACGGCACAAGGCAGAGGAGAGCGAGGGCTGTCAGGGAGGGCCTGGCCAGCGCTGGGAAGAGCCCTTGGGACCCCCAAGCAGCCCCTCACTCATTCACTCAACAACTTGCACCAAGCACCTGCCCTGCCAGGCGTGTGCAAAGCCCCAGGAACCAGCCGCAAACAAGGCAGACAAGGTCCCCACCCTCAGGGAGCTTGCGCTGTACTCAGCAAAGACAGGTGCTCAGGAGCGAATCACTCAATTATTTGGTCACCACGGTGAACAGTGCTATAGTCATCCCGTTTTCCTCTCTCCTCCAGCTGGGCTGAGCATTACCGCTGTTACTAAGTGGCCTGGCCTGTCCGGAGCGCTCTCCGAGTGCTCAGCACCCCGCTGGGTGCTCTGTGAGTCACCCCATTTAATGCCCGTGACAGCTCAGACAGACAATGGCACCAACCACGCTTACAGATGAGGAAGTAGAGGCTCAGAAGGGTGAAACGTCTTGCCTGACAGCACACGGTCACTAGCTGTGTGACCTTCCGCAAGTGCCTCAGCCTGCTCTTGCCTCGGTTGCTCCTTCTGGAAAACGGGTACGACGGCAGCACCTACCGGGCAGAGCTGGTAGGTTGTGAGGGTCGTAGGCGGCGGCACATGTAAGTCACGTGGGCAGTGCCTGGCACACCCTTAACAAGGGCTGGCTACCGTCCCAAGACCCGAGAGCGTGACCTGCCAGGTGCAGGCCCGCGGGCTCACCGCGAACACGGAGCTAAGCGGGGACCGGGCACCTTAGCCCAGGGGCTTCCTGGTGCGCTCCGTGACTCCCTGCCTGAGGGTTTTGTTTCAGCCCTGATTGGCGTCGGGAGGGGACTTTAACCTGGCCCTTGCCGCAGAAGGCCCAGTAGTCAGGACTCCTAGCACAGGAGACGCCGGCAGGGCCGGCAGGAGAGGGAGTCGCGGGTGTTTTGGTCTGACGAGGTCCGCGTCTCGGAACTGCCTTTATGTGTCACACACAGATGCTAAAGGCAGCAGCGAGTGACCCCTCACAGACCAAGGCGTTCCACAAACTACGCATTACGGCCTGGCCCGCCATCTCCTCTGCATCCTCCCAGCCCCCACCACAGGGCAGCCCGTGTGGCCGAGGGGACACGCATGTCTGGGCACACATGCACACACGCACACACACATGTGTGCGTGTGTGCACAGACATCCCCACGCTCGTGAACACTGGTGGCTCCAAGGCGGGGCCCTGTGGTCAGACGGCTGTCGGGGTCAGGATTCTTGCTCCCCCACTTACTAGTTCCGTGACCTTGGACAGGAGACTGAATCTCCCGGTGCCACAGTTTGTTATCCTAGAAAATGGGCAAGGTGACAGTGCCCCCTCCACGGAGTCACCGCAAAGGTGAACTGGGCGCCTGGTGCGTACCTGGCACTCAGGGAGTGTCTAGCAGGGTTAGCCACCGTGTCCAGTTCTGTGGAATGAACTGAATGCGTGTGGACACGTGGACTCGGTTTACACCTACACGCACACGCACACACGCACGTCTCCTAGGAGGAGCTACACCAATCCCACTCAGGCAGACTCCAGGGCACTACGATTCTCTGAGACAGCGCCGGGAAATTTGGAGATCATCCCCTGTGCCCTCCAAGGCATTTGAGCCCTCACATCCCCCTGCTTTTCCAAGAATGTGGGTCTTCCCGGCGCGTCTGTAAGAGACATGGCGTCCGCTCCAGGGAGACGCACTAAGGCTTCACGAACGGCTACAGCGCGGGCTCCGGGCAGGAAGCAGGGCCGCGAGGAAGCCACGGCAGACCAGGTAGCACAGTCCTGGCCGTGGCTGAGCACACATTGCAGTGAGACCTCCAGCTCCTCGCAGACCAGGGCTGGGGGTTGCTGGAGGTTTTGTTCCCAGTGGCCACCCCAGAGCTGGGCGGAGGATGGAGGGACAGATGGATGAGGCGCTGGTGATCCAGGCCGCAGTCACCTTGGGTGCCGGGGGCTGAGCCAGGATTCTCAGGCCAGGCGTGGCTGGCGCAAGGCCCTCGGTGGGTGGCGGGGGCCAGTCAGCCAGCGCGGTGACAAGGTCACAAACTGTGGGCTGACGGTAAGTAGAGGCAAATATCTCTGCCTCCTGCAGGCCCGGGGGCAGCCCAGACCCTCCGGCCAGGGCAGAGCAAGGCTGATGCCTCCTCGCGGTCCTTGGGCCTGTGCAGCCCAAATGCAAGCAGCACCCCCTGGGGTGTGGGCTTCTGCATGGCGACTGCTAAGGAAGCCGACAGGTTTGATAAGGCCCCTGCCAGGGAGAGACAGCACTTCCTGCCCCCAACAGAGGCACAAAGGGGCCAGCCCTGCAGGGAGACCCTGGGAGGGGCCCTGAGCAGTAGCAGTCAGGAGCCTGGTAGCTGGACCGAGTCCAGGCCTGTTGCCCACCAAGTCTCAAGGCCCCTCTCCCGGCCATGCAGACCCCTGCCCTGAGCTTACACCAGCAACACCTGCCTCAGTGTACCTGTGAAGAGACCCCCGTGGCCATGGGAAGCTCGGAGGTCCCCCTGCTAGAGGCATCTGTACCTTCAAAGCGAGGACTGGAGAGGGGACGCTTAACCCAAAGGAGCAAGTGCCAAGGAATGGCATTCACGGTCCACAGCGGGCCATCGAAGAAACCTTTCCCTTTCACCTCAAAAAAGGTGACAGTCGCATGGACGGTCACTTCACGGACATGTAAAGCGAGACTTAGCTGAGGGGCTGGCTCCACGCCCCCCGGCGTCTCAATAGTGGAGCTGAGACGGGAGCTGAGAACCGATCTTCCCACCACCGCCCACGGGGCGGCCAGGCTGCGGCCAGCAAGGGCTGTGCAGGGGCAGGTGAGCCCCTCGCAGTGTAAACGGCTCATCTCCCCCCCACACCCCTGCCACGGGCTGCACGCTGGGCCACCTGCTTCCTTCCACCTGTCCACGTGTGGGCTTGCTGCTCCCCCACTCTGTTTCCTCTTCCTCGGCTTCCGCCTGGTGGCACCCGGCGGTGGCTGCTGCTGCCACAGTCCCACGCGGCGAGCGGGTCCTCCCTCCCGCACCCTCACCGTGGCCACTCTGCCCACGCGCCAGCCACCGCTGGGCCACACCGGCCCTCAGAGGTCACCCCACACTCCGGGAGGAGCAGACGGACCAGCCCCGCAGCCGGCAGGGGGACCCCCGGGATCGAGCGGACCCTATTCGCATCGCAGAGCTGGGACTCCTCTTACCTTCGCCGTGAACCCGCAGGCGGATTAAGGTGAAATAAAACCTACCATTTGCGTCACATGCTCAGCTGATTGGAAACACGCGTCCCTGCCCGCGACCGCCGTGAGAAGGCACGATTACCTTGCCTTTGAGTCTGTAAACGCTTTACGGCCGGGCAGCTTTAATCCTGCTGGGGGGAAGCAACGATCCGGGAATAAACGTCCCCCACGTGCCTGTGTGTCCCAGTCTCACGCTCCGGTGGCAGCAAAGCGCCCTAAGCGAGGGGACGCGGGGAGCCAGACGATCCCGGCAGCCCAGTTTGGTGATTCTCGTCGTAGGCGCAGGAGCTGGAAAGGCTAGAGAGCAACGCTGGGCAGGGGCGCTCGTCCCTCCCAAACCCACACCCGGCGAGGACGCCGCCCCCCCCCGGCCGTCCCCAGTTCCTCCGCCTCTCCCTCCCAGGGGACGACGGCCCCCAGGCCCCGGCAGTGCCCGCTCCGTAAGGGGCACTTGCAGCAAGCCGCCAGCTCCAGGCATGTGGGGACGACCAGGAAGGGTCCGAGAAGGGCAGATTCGAATCCAAGTCAGATCAGCCCAGGAAGGAGGGAGAGGCCCGTGGGGGAGGGGCTGTGTGCAGGGGTGGGGGGTGCCAGGCTTGCTTTCCTCCCCGCCTCCCCATCCTCTCTGTGCATTGCCAACAGCGCGGCCTACG